GCCTGCTGCACAGTGACTGTTCCATAGCCGTGTGTAATGTTCCCTGGCATCATTTTGGTAGTCCATAAACAGCTCCATGTTAAAGGGGGAGAAAGGGGTCAGCTTTGTGCTGAGGACAGAAAGCTCCATTCTCGGTAGCTGACAGTCTGTTTCCTTCTTGCTTCTTTTGATGTCTGGAGACTAAATGCTGCATGGAGAGAAAAATTCAATTCATTTAAAATATTTTGCATCAAAATGACATGCTTTAATGTAGGTTCTTCTGATGTTTAAATTATCTTTTCATCTCATGGGGGTGGGAGGGAAAGCCAACGTGTTTCTAGTTAAAGTGCCCAAGCAGAACTTTAAACAAAGGTCTGGAAGAAGAGGAAGTCTCAATGTACGGGTGGCTTTTAAGAGTAGATGCTTTCCCTTCCCCCCTGTTCTTGTCTCCCTGAGACTTGTAAACTGAGGAGATTTATTGCTGCCCTTCCAAATGCTGCTTTAAAATTAAGAGTTCAAATTTTTGACATTCCTGAAGTCCTCAGGAGGGAGAGGAATAAGGGAAAGTGTTGATCCTAAGTGGAGCAGAGCTTACCAAAGGGGTTTCCAGGCTGGTTTGGCCAGTTGTAGCTGTGTGTAGCCTTACTAGGGGGAAATCAGCTAAACCTGCACCAAGAAAACTCTTGGAGTCGTGGATCAATGATGAAACTGCGTTTGGGTGAAATTTAGACTTATTAAATAATTGTAGTTGTTATTGCTGGTAATTTGGAGACCTGATTCTAGCTTATCCTGTTGCTGTAACCATGAGTCTTGGTAATTTCACAACTATCACATCAAGGGAGGGACTCAACAGGCTCTTTATCAATCACTGTCCTTCACCAGATGTGACTGTGCCTGCAGATGCATTGTCATGTGTTTGACTTAATGCTGATATAGAATCCACCCCATCAGTGCCATTCCAGCTCCCCTTGAGACTGGTAAAGAAAAATCTCATTGACTTTCTGTTTTATATCTCCTCCATAATGTAGGAAGGGTTTCACCCTCTGTTCTTTCTGCTTATATTACTTAATATTGTATTTGTGGTATATTTGAAATTGTAAGATGTATTTCCCTGTGGTGCCGTTGCTTTTCTGTGTCACTTCAGGTTTGGGTTGTGTGCAGTGTACTGTAAACCCCTGTGTTTTCAATGAAGGGTCAGCATTTCAATAGGGATCTGCTTGGAAAATGATTTCAGCTTCCATCCTGGATATCTTGCTTTTGTGAAGAACGTTTGATATACAGATGGAACTGGCTTATTTTCGTATGAAACCTGCAAACCCTCCCTGCGCTTTGGTTACCCCCAAGCTTGCACCTGGGCAGGACAGGAGGAAGTTAGAACATCCTTCAAAACATAATAGGCTTTTTTTTTTCTTTCTTATTTTCAATGTAAAATGGCACAAATCACCTCAACATATTGCTATTGTGTTTATTGATAATGAATAACCAACGCTATTCTTGTTTTGCATGATGCTGTTACCTCAAATCTCCATTGCATTGTGCAGCCACTGCATGCTGCTATTAAGACAGATAGCAAAGGAATGGAAAGGAATGGAAAAACATTCTCTGATTGTATGAATATTTTAGGGACACTGGTGTGTTTTCTAGTCAGGATGGCCCCACTGTCATAGTATCCCAGACTGGTTTGGGTTGGAAGGGACCCTTAAAGCTCCTCCAGCTCCAACCCCTGCCACAGGCAGGGACACCTTCCACTAGAGCAGGTTGCTCCAAACCCCTGTGTCCAACCTGGCCTTGAACACTGCCAGGGATGGGGCAGCCACAGCTTCTCTGGGCACCCTGTGCCAGCGCCTCAGCACCCTCACAGGGAAGAGCTTCTGCCTCAGAGCTCATCTCAATCTCCCCTCTGGCAGGTTCAAACCATTCCCCTTGTCCTGTCCCTCCATCCCTTGTCCAAAGCCCCTCTCCAGGTTTCCTGGAGCCCCTTTAGGCACTGGAGCTGCTCTAAGGCGTCCCCTTCAGGAGCCTTCTCTTCTCCAGCTGCCCCAGCCCAGCTCTCTCAGCCTGGCTCCAGAGCAGAGCTGCTCCAGCTCTTGGAGCATCTCTGTGGCCCTCCTCTGTCCGAAGTGGAAAGCTGTCCTTGGAAATGAGAAATCCTGAAAGAGAAACTTTGGTATATCAGGCAAATAATGCCATCAGTGTAACCCCAAATCCTTCCAATCTTTTCTTTCAGTCTGGAAGCAGAATATTAACAAGGTGTTGAGTGGGTTTTTTTTCCCCCATGTAACCACTGTAACTAAGCAGTGCTGGTAGTGTGGCTGTCACCTATGGAGGCACTCGTGTCCCTCTGGGAACAGATGGGAAGCTTTCCTAGGTGAGGACACAGCTCCTACTTCTATCTTCTGATACAGCCTTTTTCTGCCAGTAGTGAGCTCCGTCTGGTTGTGTTCAGAAGTGGGTCTCTTTTTTCTCTTTTCCAGGTGCCAAATATATCTACATTTGACTCACAGCTTCTCGTGTGTTGGTTGGAAACAAGCCCTTTTAAAAATAGTGATGTTGGGTTTAGCACTGGAACAGTCTCAGTTTGCACAGCAGTAGCTTTCTAATGTGAAACACTTCTTTTAGCACCTTATGTCAGTTTGGTAACTAAATAGATGTTTTGAGAAAATACCTTTTATGTCTTTGCCTTCAAATCCCAAACCTCTTCAAATCTCAAAATCTCTGCATGCAGATCCACAAACAGGTATAGAGGGACATGATTACCCTTGGATAATCCTGGCATTAGAGACTCCCTAAGTGAAATGGTCCTTTTCTGACACCAGTTTCCTCACCCAGGTGCCTTTTGGAGCTGCTTTAACAACATTTTATGGCAAAATGTCTCTTACACATCCTTTTTGATTTGTCTTGCAGAGGATATTCAACTCCTTTGTGTACACGGAGAAGATATCGAATGGAGAAAGTGAAGTTCAACAGGTGAGCCCAAAAGCCCATTCCCATCTCCTGCTGCAACACTAGCAGCATTACAAAGGCAGAGTGAGCTTAGAAATGACAGTTCTGTCTGGATTTATTGTGGCCACTTTCCTTGTGTCCAGCACATGAAATAACAATAAATGGAATAGGATATAAATAGAGATGAGGTATATGGGCTGATTCTGTATCTGAGAGTTTTGCATTGCTATGAAAAGGCTTTCCATCTGCTTTGTGTGGGTCTGTCCCTTAGAAACAAAAGAGCAGAGGCAGAGCTGGGGCCCTCATGTAGCATCTCACATTAATTGCCTGGTTTTCATGTTGGAAGTGGCTCTTTGAAAATGGTTTTAATTCAAAGCAAACCCACTAATACTGTTTATGAATGTGGAAATGGTATCAATTGCTTTGTGTAAATATGAGACAGACTCATGCATAACAGTTGTGGTTGAGGGTTCTTTGTAATTTTGTGGGGGCTTTTCTTATGGCAACACATTTGAACATTTAACTCTTTAGTTTAACACTGAGATAATAGATCTCAGTACATGGGCTGTTTGCATTTAACACATGCATGCATTTGGAAAACCAATTCTGGATCAGTTTTAAAACAGATCAAATCGATCATGTTTTCTTCCTTAAGATATTAAGGTACCAATTCTGTATGCTCACAACTGCACCTTCACGCTATAAACGTGATGGGGTTTGGTAGAAAACTGCTCTGTGTGGGCAGCCTGGGCATCTGAACAAAGAACCAGCTTTTCCTTCCAGTTTAAGCCTGGACTCACTTGCAGAACCTTCAGTGGGTAACCTGACCATCCTAGACCCCTATCAAACTAGGTTTAATGTTCAGTAGAAACAAAAGTGCCTCAGAGCAGGGCTCTCCCTGGGGAAAGGGGAATTGCTCTTCAGCACTGCAGGTAGCCTGCTTTGTGCACGAGCACTTGCTGCTGGTTTCCAGGAGTGTATCGGTGCACTGCATGCTCCTGTGCATTAAAAACTGGTCGTGTAATAGAAACAAATTAACACCCAAAGTTGTGTTTACTGTAAATGCTGATATTTCCCCAGGAAAAAGTCAAAGCCGAGCTGGATCAAATGTGGTTGTGAATTGTAGAGTCATGGCGTTGTTAAGGTTGGAAAAGATCCTTAAGATCATTGAGTCCAACTGTTCCCCAAACTGCCAAGGCCACCACTAAACCATGTCACTAATGCCACATCTACATATCTTTTAAATACCTCCAGGGGTGGTGACTCAACCTCTTCCCTGCACAGCCTGTTCCAGTGATTGACAGCGCTTTCAGGGTAGAAATTGTTCCTCATCTCCACCTAAACCTGCCCTGGGGCAGCTTGAGGCCGGTTCCTCTTGTCCCATCCCTCGTTCCTTGGGAGCAGAGACCAGCCCCCTCCTGGCTCCATCCTCCTGTCAGGCAGTTGCAGAGAGCGATCAGGTCCCCCCTGAGCCTTCTCTTCTCCACACTAAACCCCTCAGGTCCCTCAGCCCTTCCCCATCACACTTGTGCTCCAGGCCCTGCTCCAGCTCCATTCCCTTCTCTGGCCCCGCTCCAGCACCTCAATGTCTCTCTTGCAGTGAGGGGCCCAGAAGTGAACGCAGGATTTGAGGTGCAGCCTCCCCAGTGCCCAGCGCAGGGGGACAGTCCCTGCCCTGGTCCTGCTGCCGCACTGGGGCTGGGACAGGCCATGGTGCTGGTGGCTCCTTGGCTGCCTGGGCACAAGCTGCTCATGTTCAGCTGGCTGTCCTCCTTCCACCCTCCTTTATAGATGGGCATTATATTTGTGAACCTCCAGTCAACTGGGACATCCCTGGTGAGCCAGGACCACTGTTGATGGAAGGGGTTTCGGTTAGCACCTCCACTAGCTCTCTTAACACCAGATCCCATCTGGTCCCACAGACTTGTGTGTGTCCAAGTGGTGTAGCACATCACTGACCATTTCTCCTTGGACTACGGGGGCTTCATTCTGCTCCCTGTCTTCCAGCTCAGGGGGCTGCGTACCCAGAGAACAACTGGTCTTACCAGTAAAGACTGAGGCAAAGAAGGCATTAAGTACCTCAGCCTCTTCCTCATCCTGTACACTGTATTGAAACTTTTGGAGAGCTTGCATTGGAAAGCAGCACTCAACTCCTCTAATATTTCAGAAGAAATATGATGGCTTTTGATGGGATTATGGTCAATGTAGGAGCTAAATTAATTTGCAGAAAGTGGAATAGTTCTGTTAAACCATCACCAAGTCTTTACTGTAGAAACCTTGTCCCATACTGGCATTAAATTGAAGTGTGTAATGTTAACAGAAAAATTGGGTAAATATAAGAGCATGTATTAATGATCTAGGGCTTAAATGAGACTCAGATTGACATCACACATTTAACATGAACAATTTAACATTGACATGACATTTTAAGGTGAATCTCTTGTGTGTGTTATAAAAATTACGAGGTTTGTGTTTAGGAGCAAAGTTCACTTTTGGTACTGCTTGTGTCTGTGTTGGGTGTCTGTTCGGTGAGTACAGATGTGTGTTGGGAATGTCAGAAGGAACTGGAGCAATGCATTAATCCTGGTAAATTACCCTAATTTTAGTATTAACAATTGACCCTGTGGGTAATAGTATCTTCACCAGAGTAATAGATGTTAGGCGTTACAGGAGGGGTTTTCTAGCTCTGGTTAGTTGGAAGACTTCTGATGCAAGTTTTATCTGAAATTTGTTGGTTTATGGGTGTCTGTCCTACATACTCTATTTGGCTGTAGAAACACATTTCTGATTTTCAATCATCACAGTTGAGATCATAGAATCATAGAATGTTTAGGGTTGGAAGGGACCTTACAGCTCCCCCAGTTCCAACCCCTGCCACGGGCAGGGACACCTTCCACTAGTGTGCCGCCAAGCCCGTGTGCCCAAGCTGGCCTTGAACACTGCCAGGGATGGGGCAGCCACAGCTTCTCTGGGCACCCTGTGCCAGCGCCTCAGCACCCTCACAGGGAAGATCATCACCTGTAATACAAGAGCAAAAAAATATGGGGAGGGCCAGATCAGCCAGGAGGATATTTCCTCTTTTAGTTTCAATCCCACTGTCTTTGTTATGCCACCTTTTCCACTTGGCTTCTCAAGTGAATTGTGCAGAGACAGCTCTGCTCTGGAGCCAGGCTGAGAGAGCTGGGCTGGGGCAGCTGGAGAAGAGAAGGCTCCTGAAGGGGACACCTTAGAGCAGCTCCAGTGCCTAAAGGGGCTCCAGGAAACCTGGAGAGGGGCTTTGTGCAAGGGATGTAGGGACAGGACAAGGGGAATGGCTTGAAACCGCCCGAGGGGGGATTGAGATGGGCTC